TGGATGTTTAGACTTTAGGGGTTTAGGGTGTGCGGGCTAGGGCTTAGGGTCTAGTGGTTTAGGGTTTAGGGTTTCCCTAAACCCTAAACCCTAAACCCCCGATTCCGGCCGCAGATCACGAACCAACGACCGCCGCCGCACTCGCTTGTCGTTTGCAAACCCGACGTCTCAGTTTCCCAGACCCCCGGGAGGATCTAGAAAGTAGATCCCTTAATGGGGGTTCCTATAGAGTACCCTTAGTAGTATAGGGCCCTCAAATTAGGGGATCTACTTTCTCGATCCTCCCGAGGGTCTGGGTTTTGAATGCCACCGATGTGCTTCCAGGCGGCAAACAGATCCACTCCGCGAGAAGGTCTGGAAGAAAGCTCCGTGGATGGCTCCCTGATTAGGAAAGACCCGAAGCTGCAAGCCTTCACTCTTGTCAAAGCCACCCCATTGCTCAAAGGATCTTAAAAGCAGTCCCAAACCCTAACCTTAAACCCTAAACCCCTAACCCTAAACCTTAACCCAAAACCGTAAGCCCTAACCCCTTAGGCCTTTATAGATCCCTTTACAGAACCCTTACAGGAACCATTATAATTAAATATAGAACAGTATACCACCCCCTTAAACGGGGACCCTATTCTAGAACACTATACTCTCGCCCTCACAGGACCGAACCACAAGGAACCCTATACTATCCTCTTAAAGGACCGAACCATACGGAACCCTACACTATCCCCCATAAAGGACCGAACCATAAGGAACCCCATACTATCCCCCTTGAAAGACCGAACCATAAGGAACCGTATTAAAGATCCCTTAAAGGAAGCATAAGGAACCCTATTATAGATCCCTTAATGGAACCCTAAGGAACCCTGTTATAGAACCCTTAAAGGAACCCTACTTGGATGGGCAGTGGACTTAGTAAGTAAGTTATAAGTAGAGCTACAAGTACCCTAAATGGAGTTACCCCAACTATAACCCTACTTATAACCTACTTACTAAGTCCCCTGCCGGATCTAGAAACTAGATCCCCCAATTTGGAGCCCTATACTACTAAGGGTACTTTATAGGAACCCTAAGTAAGGAACCCTAAGCAACGCTCCGCGTTTTCAGGGGTCGGTGCTGGAATCCTCTGGTCATCCCAGGGCTCCTACTTCGCGCGACTCGGCTTGGGGCGAAAACTTGGGTAGTTGGGGTTTAGGGTTTAGGATTTATTTAGGGTTTAGGGTTTAGGATTTATTTAGGGTTTAGGGTTTAGGATTTATTTAGGGTTTAGGGTTTAGGATTTATTTATATAGGGGTTTAGGATTTGTTTAGGGTTTAGGATTTATTTAGGGTTTAGGGTTTAGGAACACTTGGGTAGTTCTCTCAAAAGCTGTCTTAGTGGTACTTGGAAATATGTTGTTCAATCTTGGGATGCTGTTCTCCCCAAGAAACAGCTAAAACTATGTGTTTTTGCTAGGGGTCTAAGTTCAGTATACATGTAGTTGCTATAGTACCCTAAACATTAAACCCTATAAAGGTTACCTACGCTGTTGCTGAGAACCCGTATACGCCCGTATAGAACCCTTGTAGATCCCCTTTATAGTCCCCAAAAAGTCTTAAAGGCCTACCTTCTAGCGCAACAAGTATGTAATTCTAAATTAGGGTCCCTTTGCGGGTCATTTTTTCGGTGCCGTCTTAGGGGGGGGATCTCAGACGGGACCCTAAACAGGCAGCTAATAGGGTTCCTTAAATGGATCTTTAGGGTTTAGGGTTTAGTGTTTAGAGGTTTAGGGTTTCCATAGGGGTACTGTAAGAGGGTTGATGTGGGCCGAGAGTCCCCTGGGCCGCTGACGAGCATCCGACACCACCGAGCTCAACGGGACCCAGAGACTCCTATATCCCGTAGTTAAGGAGTATTCCTTAAACCATATGAAGCATCCTTTCATAATTTAAGGTAGATTCCTTAATTTAGGGGTATTGGTGTCTCTGGGGATGCAATCCTGGCTGGCCTCAGCCTCCTACTATCACCAAACCAAAGCCTGCGTCTCGAAGTCCGAGACCGAATCACCATACCTCCCAGAGACCAATGCACCGCGGGTCGACAGATTCTTCTGGGACCACAAGCCCAGGCCTTTGCAATCCAAACCGGTGTTAGTTTCCCCAGGATACTGAACAACTAAGTTGTCTGCTGCATTTTCATTCGGGTGGAGGTGGGCGACGTTCTTTCGAAAGTGCTTGTTTTCTTAGATAGGGATGTTCTTTGGAATTTGTTCTATAGTGTTTGCTGATGGGGTATTTCAATGGCTCCTCCATCGTTTCATTGAGTTTCCGGTTTAAAAAAGTGTGGCCGTATGGGTTTCGGTGCTTTGCCTTTACAGGGTTTAGGCTTGTAGTGTTTAGTGCGGGCTCGGGAAAATTAGGATCGAAGACAGCATTGGTAAAACCAGAGCCCAGAACAAGGGTATCCTTACTTACAACCCGATTGCGAAGGCGTTATTGGTCAAGTTGCGACACACATCAATTTGGCGTTTCTCCTCCAGCTCAGGGGCTCAGAGGTTAGGTTTAGGATTAAGGGTTTGGGGTCTAGTAACCCTTAATGTTTATAAGGTTTGTAGGCTTTGGGGCTCAGCTGGGCTGTACATATTATGGGTCGACGCAACGTACCGCAGGTTGTTGGCTGGACACGTGCTACAAGCCTGTTTGGCACTACAGGAGCGTATAGGAGCAAAACAGTGGTGCGGTACCCTTAAAGAGGGTCCTCGTGGAGGAGGTAGCAGTTCGATTTACGTTAATTATCATTTAAAGGAGACCCATATGGGTGGTTGTCAAAATTATGGTCCCTTTTGGGGTCCTTATCATAATACGGCACCTAATATTCAGGGTACCCAAAAGGGCCATAATTTTGACAACGACCCATATGATGCACGATGGATCCCCATTCCTGTAACTTAAAACGAAACTCTTCAGCAAGAGCCCAGTAAAGAGGTGCCGGGGTGTGGATCGCTTGCCTCGGATATGTTGGCCCGTTACTTCAAGACACGCTGGAGCGCTCTACTAGATAGCCAAAGGAAGGGAGAGCAATCGGTTTAGGGTTTAGGGGTGTTTGGTCTATCTTAGAAAGTCTGAACCTTGTGGGTCCGGTTTTTAAGAAGAGAGTTCAAGCAAGGGTTACGGCATAAGGTTTCAGGTTCGCACCCGGCCCCTCGGAGAATCTAGAAAGTAATAATCACCAAAACTATCGTGGGAGTCCCTTAGTACGATTATATAGTTTAAAATACCCCAAAACCCCTACTCTAGTTGTTACAGCCCCTATATTTTTGTCCCAAACCCTAAACTCGCAATCCTCTATAGTTATTAAGGCCCCTATATTAGAACCCTGTAGGAACCCCTGAATAAAGCCTAACCCAGACCCGCGGGAGGATCTGGAAAGTAGATCCCCTACTTTGGGGCCCTATACTACTAATAGGGTAGCGGAGCTCCCGTTAAGGGATCTACTTTTTGGATCCTCCCGGGGGTCTGAGAAGCACTACCTTGAGGGAGGCGGCGGCTCACGATCCGGAGTGCCGAAATGCTTTTGGGTTTCGGCGGTGTCGAAAGCTGCGGCATTTGCAAGTCAAAGTCTAGGGGTTTAGGGTATTTGTAGGGTCCAGGGTTGAGGGATTAGGGTCGCGGCAAATCGGGTAAAGCAACGCAAGTTCGCAAATCTTGTGACGTGCTGAAGCCAATCGGAAAGCCACTTCCAGGCAAGCTTCCAAGCTTCTTGCGGTTGAAGGAGAAGAGAAGGCGGAGCACCGTCTTTTTTGCAACAATACAGGTAATAGTAATTGTTAGTAATAGCAATGATCTGACAGTAGTAATATACTAATGACAATAAGAGGATCCGTATCTACCACTGTTATGGATTTGGTCCCCCAAAGCCATGATTAGAATGGTCTTTTGGGGCTTAGTTCCGTGATGGTAGGACCCTCTGGGTTATACATCAACCCTAAACCAAACCTTGCCGTGCGGCGAGCCGGAAATGCCCAGACCGCCACTGACGTTAAGTCTTTATGGGACCCAAAAAGGACATAAGCATAAGCATTTGATCGGGATACCCCTACCTCATTGGGCCTTATTATAGGGGGTTATATGGGACATCCCTATCCTAATTTGTGCTTATGTGCTTTGTTGGGGCCAAAATTTCAGTCACGCCCAGGCCAGACCGCACCCTTTAAAGGAACCGAAAGCTACCTATAAGGGTTCCTTCAAAAAGGTTCCTTTACGGGTTTCTGAGATTCTGTAAGGGTTCTACAAGAGTTCTACAAGACTTTATATACCTATAAAAAACATATTTGTATACATATATATATATATATATATATATATATATAACCCGCCTTTTTGTTGGTTTTCTTTTATGGTTTCCTTGTAAAAGGTTGGCTGTTGGGGGGTCAGGTAAACCCTATAATGGGCCCTGGAAATTCTAAACCCTCAAACGAGCAAGCGCCTTCGTTAACTCCCATTCGCTCCAGGCTTGCTTGATGCTTTGTGCCGGGTTTGGTGACGGTTTAGGGTTTAGGGTTATGGATGGGACTGGCTACATCTGACTTCGTTTGCCTGTGCAAACGCTTCGCAATCCGTCGAGATAAGATGACCAGCTGCTGGAAACGCGGAGGGGTGGATGAAAAGCAAGGTTGAAGCGAAAATACGTAGTTAGTAACAGTCATAGTCAGTAGTGAAGAGCACTGTCAGGACTTGGCATGCCGTCGCAGTGTCATTCTGCTTTCAATCTGCCGTTTTGGGCTTCCAGCTTCGTGCAAGCGAACCCCACGGCTCCAGTTACTTAAATAGTAGTTTACTTCATAGTATGTAACACAGTAGTTAACCCAGTATCTAGGGAACTGGAGCCTTAAGGAACCGCCATTTTAGAGCCCAATACCCCTTAAATAGGAAATATAGCTTAAATCAGAATATGAAGCCCCATATTATTTGAGCCATATTCCCTAATTAAGGGGTATTGGGCTCTCTGGGTTGGCCTGCTTGCCAGCGAGATGCTCCGCATTTGGAGGCTCTCTGGGGAAGAGTTGGCTGCCATACCTGACGTGGAGCTGAGCGACGTGAAGGCCTTGAAGCATTGTTTGCGAAGGAGGAATGGCTTTCCAGTTTCACTTCAGCAACTTTTCCATCATGGATGCCGGATGGATGATACTTTCAAGCTGGGTTCATGCATGGACTTGCAGCTGGTTCTGCTGCCGATGACTCTGCAGTCAGAAGTTGCAGACGAACTGCGAGCTACAGCCACGAGTGGTGAGGTTGAGGCAGCGCGATGGCTGCTGCGGGCAAGCACAGACAAGGACTCTATAGATGCCTTCGGTAGAACTGCTCTCATGTGCGCATCTGCCGCCGGCCATGCCCACATTGTTCGATTGCTGCTGGATGCCGGTTATGACACCTGGATGTTTTCTAAGACGGCGGCTTAAAGCTTTAGCTTTTGCTTTTTTAATCAACAGCTCAACAATGTTAGGGTTCATGCTTTCAGATGTCGTTTCAAGTCCCAGTAGAGCTGCGTTGAATCGAAAAGAACCGAGGATCATTCCTTGACTGATCGCGGGGGCCTGACGGCCCTCATGCGGGCATCGATGGAGGGGCACGTGGAGGTTGCACAAGTGCTATTGGAGGCTGCAGGGCTCTTATTAAGGAGTTTCATTTTAAAGCTGCCCTAATATGGATGTCTAGTACGCCGGTGATGCGGTATCCTTTTTGTCGTAACTTGGCTCGAACTCCTTAAAAAGAACCCAGGCTGGCGCAGACAAAGATGCGATCAATCCTTACGGCAAAACCAGTCTTATGGAAGCTTCCATCAAGGGCCACACTGAAGTTGTCCGGCTTCTGCTGTCTGCCGGAGCCAAGCAGGATTCCCTAAACCCTAAACCCTAAACCCCAAACCCCAAAACCCTAAACCCCTAAACCTTAAACCCTAAACCCTGAGCCAAGCAGGATTGGACAGGCCGTGACGGTACCACGGCTCTAATGGAGGCTTGCATGGCCGGTCACAAGGAGATCGTGGCTTTCTCATAGTTTGGTAACATTGTATATTTCGGTCTAGGGTTTAGGGTTCAGGGTTTAGGGTTTAGGGTTTAGGGGGTACTTAAACCCAAAAAGGAATAACAATTTAAGTTTTTTTTAATCCTATCCCAACCATGAACTAGGTGCGTTTGCTTTTGGACTTTGGTGCTGACAGGGAGTTAAAGGACCGGTGGGGAAGTACAGCGCTGGTCTTTGCGGCTGCCAGCGGCGAAGCTGAGATTGCAAGATGGCTTCTTGAAGCAGGACCTGCTAAGACCGCACAGGACAGTCAGGGCAAGATACCGAAGATGTGGGCATCTACGAGCGGCAAGGTAAAGATTGCATGCTTACCTGCGAAGATCTGACGCAAGCCGTGTAACATAGGGGCCTGAAAATGTCTATGTCGTTCCTTAGGGTTCCTTGTCATCACTATAGTATGACATACCGTATAGACAGTCCCATATATACCAGGAAACTCTGTTCTCACTATTGCGGCCCCTCTGCTGTTCGGGACAGCTTTTGCTTTTTTCTGGGAAAACAGCAGATCGAGTGCACAGAGGGCGGGGCTTCGCATGTGAAGTGATTTCGGTTTAGGCTTCAGGGTCTGAGGGTTGGACAGTGCTGCCCGGAAACCATAGTCCCGAGCCCAGCATCGTAAACTTTGAACTTGACCTATTCTTCAGACACTAACCCCTAACCACTAAACCCTGACCCCTAAAACCCTAAACCCTGCAGACTCTGTGAGCGCCAAAACCATCTCAAATCAGCTTGCTTGAGTCCAGTTCCGTGCAAGCCTTAGGCAACCAGCATCTGCTTGTCTTCACCTCTACTAAGACCTAGTAGTAGAGCAGGTAACCTTTGAACTTTTTTTCTGTTGTATAGTATATAATCCCTATATACCCACAAAGTTTAGCCTTTAGTTCCCCATGATACCCGACAAGTTCCTACTTGGAGGGGCAGGGCACTTAGTAAGCAGGTTATGAGTAGGGTTATAAGTACCCCAAATGGAGTTACCCCAATTATAACCCTACTTATAAACGACTTACTAAGTCCCCTGCCCCTCCAAGTAAGCCCTAAACCCTAAACCCCATAGATCCTTTTAAGGAACCCTATAGATCCCTCTAAGGAAGCCTATAGATCCCATCAAGGAGCCCTTACTAAGATTCAGAATCGGTGCTCAAGGCCCCAAACGTCAAGCGACGGTCCAAGCTGACAATGAACGGGACCCGACATTCCAAGTTTGGCGAATAGAGATCTGTACATGATACATCCCAAGCCTGTGTAGGCCTAAGGGTCCAACGGACCCAAACAGTGACCCCAAAAAAGGAGCTACTTTGGGGGCCTTTGGGTACTTCATAATTAGGAATGCTATCCTTAGGGATCCTTATCATAATGCCCATACAGGAACCCCCTAAACCCTTAACAAAAAACTGTCCTTAAAGTTAATTACCCAGAGGGTCCTATGTACCAATATAGAAGAATGTAGGGTTTCCATAGTAGGAATTACTATTATGACTTAGGGAAGTATCCCCCATAACAGTACATAGGTAACTATCCATAGAACCCGGTATAGATCCCTTATGGACTCCTTTAAAAGGGAACCCTAGGACATTATCAGTACATAGGACCCTTTGGGTTATAGAACACCTGCAAGCACAGGCCGTCACAGCGAGGCTCTCAGGAGCGCCTTCTGAGTTCGCGTTTTGGGGGGGTTTAGGGTTCCTGTATAGGGGTTTAGGGTTTAGGGTTTAGGGTTTAGGGTTCCTGTATAGGGGTGCATAAGGGCTCCTTTAAAGGGAGCTATGAGTGGTTCGATAAAGGGGTGGGTCTAGGGTTTAGAGTTTTAGGCTTCAGAGTTTAAGTCTTACGGGGTTTAGGGCTTAGGCTTTAGGGTACAGTTTTCCGGTTTAAGTTTTAGGGTTCGGGTTTATAGGGCCTAAAGTGCTTAGGGTTTATGTAGGGTGCAGGGTTCGGCTCTTTCTACGGATTTCGGGGCGAGTCTTTCCCCTTCCTTATTTGTGCGGTTCATGCTCCACAACGAGCTAAACCCTAAACCCTAAACCCTAAACCCCTAAACCCCTAAACCCTAAACCCTAAGCCCCTAAACCGCATGCCATAGCTGGCCGGTGGGCCGAATCTCAGCAGCTGATTTTGAGCCCGGCATCTGGTGGCGTACCATAGTTCCCAGAGACTCCAATATCCCTTAATTAAGGAATATTTCTTAAATCATATTAAGGATCCTACTTTAAGGTATATTCCTTAATTAAGGGGTTTTGGAGTCTCTGGGTTCAGGGCGTATGCCACTCTTGAAGAATCCTGTGCGGTGCCGCGCACCTTTGCCGAGCATCAGCACGGAACCGTACGCTTACAAAAGTGAAAGTGCCGCGTCCTGACCGCACATCACAGCCCGGTCCTTGACATACCTCCCCTGCGTAGAAGTACATGTCACATTGGACAGCGCAGCTCCTTGTACGAATGCTTATACCGGGTGCCCGAGCTCCACCCGGCCGCCGCCCAATACCTGCGCACAGGGCTTGTGCTTTTGGGTTCAGGACTTGGGGCTTCGGGTCTTGGAAGTTTGAGTTTGGGTTTAGGACATGAGGTTTCGCTGAATTCGGGCTTCGGACTTGGAATTGCAGGGTTTTTTTCACGGTGTCGGAGCTTGATTTCTGTAGCTGGGGTTTCAGGGTTCAGGAGTTTAGATTTTGGTACGTCGTGTTTCATCGATAGACTGGTTTTGGGTGTAGGACCTCGGGTGTCAGGGGTGTAGGAGTCTGATGTGTCGGACCTGGGAGTTTGATGTTGGGTTTAGGAATTGGGTTTCAGGGCGAAGCCTTAGTTTGATGTTGTTAGTACTGCGGTTGGTTGCTTATAAAACAACGGCTCCACTTAAGCAGAGCTTGGAAGTAAACAAAATTATGGTTGTTTCAATGCACGACGCTGAGGGTTTAGGGTTCCCTGAGGGTCTAAGTGCCTAGTTATCATATACTCTCCAAAATAGTAACCTACATAACTACTATCCGAAGCCTACGTACATAATTATTAGGTCCTTTGGAGCCTTAGGGGTGGTTTTGCGAGCCTAAACCCTAAACGCTAGCCACCAGATCTCCCACCCGAGCAGACCAGTCCTTGAGCTCTAAGGGGAAACCTCGCGCCCTGGTTAAGCTCCGGACCCTGACCCTGGACCCTAAAAGCCCTGGGCCCTAAAATTAGCCTCAAATCCCCCCGAGCCCCAGCCCAAACTTTTCAGGTTTGTAAGCCTGTAATCCCTTGTAGAATGCTTCGGATCGCTTGTAGGAAGCCTCGACGGAACCCTAAAGAAGTAGGAACCATTTAAACTGCCGTAAACCGTAAACCCTAATCCATTAAAAGATTCCTGAACCCTAAACCCTAAAGTCCTAAACCCTAAACCCTTCAACCTTAAACCATGGAGCCAGGAGTCTTTGCCGTTCGCTACCTCGCTTGGGAGTTTGCCGTGAAACTGTTAGTCTCCTTGGTCCAATCCTTGCAGCTGGCCCGCGAGGGTTTAAGGGTTTAGAGGTTAGGGGTTTAGGGTTTAGGGGTTTAGGGTTTAGGGGTTTAGGGGTTTAGGGTTGGGGTCTAGGGTTTAGGGGTTTAGGGGGTTTGCAGTATAGGGTTTTGTGGTTCCTTTAAAAGGGGTCGATAAGGGTTCCTTTAAAGGGATCTATAAGGGTTCTACAAAGGGTTTATAGGGTTTAGGGTTTACAGTAGAAGCCCACAAATTGGAAACCTAATAGCCTCAATCCTTAAGATTGATGTATAGGGAATCCCAGCACGTGTTGGCCTGAATCCAGTTTCCAATTAATTTTATGAGGTTTACTATCGGGTTTCAGGGGTTAATACAGGGGCCGGAATACTAGGATGCCCAGTAGTACCCTTATTCCCTTTTTGTAGTCCTAGGTTCCTTATAAAGTTACCCAATACCAAAAAGAGAGGCCTTTTTATTCTTAGGTTATTGGGTATCCTAGAATACTGAGAACAGAGTTTTGGAGTATTATTATACTCTAGGAGCTAGGAGGGCCTCTAGTGTTGAGGGTTTAGGTTTCGGGTTTAGCTCGGGGTCCAGGGATCTACAAAGAGATCTTTAATGTTTTTGTTGAGTTCCTTGCAGCTGGCCCGCTACTTGGAGGATCATGGGACTTAGTAAGTAAGGTTATAAGTTCCTTAATTGGGGTTATAAGTATAGTTACCCTAACTATAACCCTAGTTACTAAGTCCCATGATCTTTTAAGTAGACCCTAAACCCTAAACCCTGTAGATCCCTTCAAAGGAACCCTATAGATCCCAAAAAGGAGCCGTTTAAGGAACCCTCGTTACTAAGTCCCCTGATCCTTTAAGTAGGGTTCGGGGTTTGGGATTTAGGGTCCCCAGGCTTCAGGGCCTACGGAGCTTTAACTCAGACCTCCTTTACAGGGATCTAAGGGTTTAGGGTTTAGGGGTTTAGGGGTTTAGGGTTTAGGGGTTTAGGGTTTATAGGGGTTTAGGTTTAGGGGTTTAGGGTTTAGGGTTTAGGATCTAGAAAGTAGATCCCCCAATTTGGGGCCCTATACTACGAAGGGTACTTTATAGGAGCCCCCATTAAGGGATCTACCTTTCCGGGGGTCTGGGAACTGGGATCTTGCTAAGGGATTCAACAAATTACCATAATACAGAAACCATCTTATTTCCTATAGCCCCGCATTATGGTAACTTAGATTAAATCCCCTAACAAGAACCCAGTTAACGTATTAAGGAATCTACATTGTTTTTTGGAGAAGTCGGTTTTGGCGGCAGGGCCACGGAGGGTTTCAAAAGCCAGTTGAAGGGTTTTGTTGATGGCTCTTTTTGAAGGGCGGAGGCCACCCAATTAGTATATACTTTGGTCTTGAAGTAGTCCAGTTTAGGGTTAGGCGGCCGCCACTTACAACAAGAGCTCGAAGATTACTTTGTCTCCTAGTTTCCCACACGACGCGATCTGCCACCATGTCCTCCGGTTTGTTCACTGACACTGCCCAGGAATATGCTGAGCGTGAAATGGCTGCAGAAGAACGCCGCACTAAGTTGTATCCATGAGACTCAGTGTCAAGTCAACAGTATGAGCCCTTCGGCGAGAGCACGCTTGACAACATGTCCCTGCCAGACATCTGGACGGCGGCATGCAAGGGCAACCGCAAGGTGGCGTACCACAGCCACCTATGCGCCGATCCAGCCAAGGATCCGTGGCATCTGGGCGCTGGAATTTCGCAGACTGCCCAAATCATGCTCGCAGCTATCAACAACTGGAAGACCGACGACATGATGCGTTTGATCAAGGACGACCTCTACATCAAAGTGACGAAGGAAATTGAGACCCTCGAACCTTCCT